GTGGGGGCGATATGCTGACTCTGTAAATCGCTTAGAGAGGGCTGAAAGCCCTATGAAGCGGCATATAAGTCGAACTGCTATTGCTATTGCTATTGCTATTGCTAAGGCTTCTCAGAAAGTGCGGGGCTGCTGGGCGAGAGATTATTTTGAACGGAAGATCCAGAGATTGTCACGAGTATCTTCAAGGGGTTTGGTTTAAGATGCCAGGCAGCCTCTCCTGCCCTTTGCTATCAGGGGGGTGGATAGAATGCCCCAAACTTTCTGGCTGAGGGGAAGCGAGGGAGGGGAAATGAGGATGGAGGGAAGAAGGAAGGAAGGAAATGGGAAGGGAGGGAGGAAGGAAAGGAAAAGGAGGATGAATAGAGAGAGGGAGGAAAAGAAGGAAGGAAAGGAGGGGAAAGGAGGATGGAGGGAAGAAGGAAGGAAATGGGAAGGGGGGAGGGAGGAAGGAAAGGAAAAGGAGGATGGATAGAGGGAGGGAGGGAAGAAGGGAGGGAGGGAGGACCTTATCCACGCGTCCTCCCCGCGCTCAGCTGTGCCTCTGACTCCCTCTTTCCCTTCCAGCCTCCCAGGACGGCGGGGGCGCTGGAAGGACCCAGCCGGTGGGCGGTGCGCGCGGAAAGACCGGGGAGGGGGGGGGAGGGCCCGGCCGAGGAGGCGGGTTGGACGTGAGATTTTCAAACATCAGATCGGTGCGTTTATATATTGGGTGCCCGGAAATTTTTCCAAATAAACACAGCTTGATTCGACTTGGGTGGCCAGACTTATCAACAGACTAATGCTATAAACAAATGAAGGGGCGCAAGCGGGGGGAGGGTTTTCCCCCCCCGCCCTCGGTCGCTCCGAGCCGAGCCACGTGGAAGGGCTGCAGCCTTCGCAGGGAAACGTTAATTAATGTGGGTGGGCTGCGGCGCGCTCCGCGGCTGTTTATCTCAGCCCGTTTCTTTTCCAGCCCTAAGTCAACACAGCGTCGCAAACTTACAACAAGCATCGCACGTTTCCTCTCTCTCCCCCCCCCTTCCTCCTCTTCTTCTTCTTCCTCCTCTTTTTTTCCCCTTCTTTTTTTTCCCTCTCCCTCCCCACTTCTGGGGGGAAAAACGCGCGCAATGCAGCTGGGGCAGAAGGAGAGGAGGCGCGCCAGAGGCCAGGACGCGCCGTCGCCAGCGGGCCAAGCTCAGGCAGCTCCGGCCAGGCCTGGGGAGATCCCCCGCTCTCCCCTTGGACTTCGCTCCCTTGCGCCGGAGTGACTCCGGATCGGCCATGAGCCAGCTCTACCCCGGCCAGCTGCCCGCCTCGATGGTTTACCTCTACGGGGCCGAGCGGGGAGCCTTGTCAGGCGCGCTGGGCTTCGGGCCGGCGGCGGGGGTGCTTCCCAGGCAGGAGTCCCCGCAGAAGCCGCCCTACAGCTACATCGCGCTGATCGCCATGGCCATCCAGCAGGCGCCCGAGCAGAAAGTGACGCTCAACGGCATCTACCAGTTCATCATGGAGCGCTTCCCCTTCTACCACGACAACAAGCAGGGCTGGCAGAATTCCATCCGCCACAACCTCTCGCTCAACGAGTGCTTCGTCAAGGTGCCCCGCGAGAAGGGCCGCCCGGGGAAGGGCAGCTACTGGACGCTGGATCCCCGCTGCACCGACATGTTCGAGCACGGCAACTACCGGCGGAGGAAGAGGAAAACCCGCGGCGGGCCGCAGGCACCGGACGAGGCCGGGCTCGACCGGGAGGGCGCCCCCGCAGAAGCCCCCAAGAGGCGCCTCTCCAGCCCCCCCGGCGGCCAGCAGCAGCGCCCCCGCCTTCCCCTCCAGCCCGGCGCAGAGGAGGAGCTGAAGCCGAATCCCGGCGTCCGAGAGCAAGAGGAGGAGGAGGAAGAGGAGGAGGAGGAGGAAGACGCGCGGAGCCGGCTGGCGGCTACGGCGGCGGGAGAGCGAGGCTCCAAGCCGGGCCCGGCTGAGCCGCCCCTCCGGGGGTCCCCAGTTGGCCTCTCCCCGCCGCGCCCCGAGGATGGAGCGCCCCGCCTTGGAGAGGGTCCCGCCGCGCGCTTCTGGGCGCCCTCGGCCGCCAGGTTTCCACAGAGCCCCGAGGCGCCCCCGCGGGCTGCGGCGCCGGCTGCCAACCGTGCAGAGTCGCTCCGACCCCCGCGGGGCTCGGCCAAGCCTCGCAGCTTCAGCATCGAGAGCATCCTTGCGCGGAAAGTCCTGGCGGCGCCGCCCAAAGGCGAGCCCAGCGCGGCCATCTCCAAACTGGACCAGCTGGTGGGCAGCGGCGGGCACGGCGAGACCAACGAAGCGCGCCCGGCTTTCAACGCCTCGCTGGTGCTGGATTCCCACTTCCCCGGCCGGTTCTACCAGCTGGGCATCCCCTTCCTCTCCTACCTACCCCTCCGCTTCTCGGAGACGGTTTTTCACTTCTAAAGCGCTCGCAGCTCCGCGCGCAGCCACGAAAGACGCAGCCCACCTATTGAAGCTCCTTTCTTCCCGCGAGGCCGCTGGAAGTGGGGGTTCCCACGTGCGAGCCCAACTTCGTCACTTGCCGGGTTTTTCTCGATCCTCGAGATTTGACCCACCGTCCATTCGGCCCTGAATGTCGCAGCGTTTTTGCTTGGGCTGAAAAGAAAGCGGATCGCGCAGCCGAATCAGCCGGTTTGAGGCTTCAGGCTTTGCCGCCGAGAATTCCTGGGATTGTAAACCCGGCCTTTGCCCACTTCGCTTCGGAACTTCCTTCCGAGTACAGTTTAACCTGCTTAAACCATGCGATCCGGGGCGAAAGGGCGTCTCGGGAGTGGATCCCTCAGGGAAGACCGTTTGCCCAAGTGAAGCGTAAACAATAAATTCCAAATTCTCTGGGACTTTTGGAGTAGCTACAGCTTTCCCCATTTTTTTTGCCCTCCTGTCTATGCATTGCTTTATTATTATTATTATTATTGTGTCATTCCTGCGGCCTCTGACATTTGGAACGGGCCCGACTGGATGATCTCTGGGATTTTAAACAAAGTCACGCTTTAATGCTACGAGTCTAAAAAAGGAGGGCGGTTTGTTTGCAATGGAAACATGTTACAGGCGTTTTGGGGGAGGGGGATATCCAGATTTTACAGAATCGGAACCTCCAGCGTTCTTTTCCGCAGAAGTTGAAGCTTCGGGACTCTGGAAAGGGGTGAACTTTTCACACCGTTTCTCTCCCCCTTTTGATTTGCAATCCGGATCAACAAAGTGCCTTTGCTTAGAGAGAAAACATCTGTTACCGGTGCCTTTTTTTTTTTTGGCTATGATGACCCTCCTGGCTTAGGGCCCTTATTCTAGCCATTAATTAAGCCACTGACCACATTAAAGGACTTGGCGATTCGGAGGGCAGCTTTACAATAATAGCAAGCCGTGCTCTTTTTCTAATATATATATATATATTATTTTAATCTACATAAAAAGCAATATCTTATCCAGAGGCGCTTTTTTTTGTATATGAGTTGACCTGTGTCTTATACTTTTAAAAACAATAAAATAAACACCTATTTTCAAAAGGTTTTGGTTGGCAAGAAAACTCTAGGCCAATAATAAACTCTAGGCCAATAAACTCTGGAATAGAGACAAGGGACCATTGGAGGAAGGAGGGATGGGCAGGGAATAACGAAAGAGCCAAATGAAGCAAGGATAAATGATGGGGAATCATGGAAACATATAGGCAGCAAGGAGCTAGTTGGTTCTGTCCTCAGGACCTCACCTTCACTGCCGCTTCAAGCTGATAGTCCTCATGGTTTTAAGAGGGCTTGGTCACTGGCTCCTGGAGGACGGGCAGCCTAGGAGAGAGGAAAGGTTTGCCAATCTGGGACCCCAATTCCATATTAAAAGGTTAAGCTCTCTTTCGAATGAGTCTTGATTAATTTAGGGGACCAATGGGGGCTCGGCTGTCCAGTTTTCTTGGCAACAAAGTGGAAGAATTTCCACTAGTGACTTTTTTTCAGGAAGTTTTTTCTTAACTTTCCACTCTAACCTGTTTTTTTTTCCATCCCAGACAAATCAGATCTGCTTCATATTTTGAGATCAACAGAGTTTTTGCTGGGGGCTGCCATTCTAGTTTAAATGTATAACCTATGATATAATAGGGTCTTGTTCTGTATGACCCAGCTAATGTTTCGGTGCCCAATTTGCAAACACCTTCTGAATGGAGTGGGCTTTCCTCCTTGCCTTCTTACTCAAGCTGTAGCAGCAGTGATAAGGCGGTTTATCTTCACTGGGCAGCTTTGCCTGGAAAATTCCTGGGAAAGTTTGGTTTGCCACGGAAGTAGGTACGAAAGCTTCAGATGCACAACAGCTAAAATTCACCCAGAGTTCCTTCTGGCAGATGGACAGCCATATCAATTGGTTGAATAAATAAACCTAATTTGAAAATAGCTTCCTAACCAAAATTCAGATCCATCCATCCATCCATCCATCCATCCATCCATCCATCCATCCATCCATCCATCCATCCACCTATCCATGTGTTTGCTTAAACTGCCCCACTTCATATACATAAACCTAGGTCTACAATTTGACCCTTAACTTTTGTTTCCTGTAGTTCCAGAGGTTTCCAGATTCGCTGTAGCCCTGTAACTCCTAGCTCACACCATCAAAGTGGTTTCCTGAAAGATTGGGGAAGTCCTATGATATGAGTTTATTAAGGTCACAACCTCATCCTATGCTGGCCATATTTGTCTCCAAGAAGAGAAGCTGCCAGCATCTAAACATTCTCCTTCTCCTTCTTCTCCACCTCCCCCTCCTTCGCCTCCTCCTTCTCTTTCTCTCCCTCCTCTTCTTTCTCCTCCTCCTCTTTCTTTCTCCTTCTTCAGTCTCCTTCTCCTCCTGCAGTTTCCTTCTCTTTCCCCTCCTCCTCCTTCTTTCTCCTTCTTCAGTCTCCTTCTCCTCCTGCAGTTTCCTTCTCTTTCCCCTCCTCCTCCTCCGCTCTCCTTCTTCAGTCTCCTTCTCCTCCTGCAGTTTCCT